GATCTCATGCCACCATACTGCCCTTGAAATTCTAGAAGTATGAGCACAAACTAGACATACTGAGAGAATAAAATGTAAATTGATCTGTAGAGAATCTGTTGGCAGAAAAAAATTAACTTCAAAGCCCTAGGCAATTAATATTTCTCTCATCCTCAGACCCATAGTAAGGAATCCAATGAAACCATTTGGAAGCTGATGCAACTTATTTAAACAATGAATATTAGTCACCTAATTGTGAGAATATACCTTCAAGAAAAAAGACACAAAATAATTTCAATTCTCATTTTGTATGTTTGTTTTATTTAAGAATTCCTACTTAAAAGAACATTTTTGTAATACATAGCCAATGAGCACGTTTTAAAATAAACCTTTGCTCCTCAGTTCCTATTATGAGCTGATAGTTCTTTGATCATTGCCAGGTTTGTGGCACACTGAAAAGCACACAATAAAATAGCTTAAAATGCGTCTATGCTTTTTACTATCCTGAAGGCAAGTGAGATCAGATACTTGGGAGGTAGGGAGGGGGAAGAAGAATCATAATTTAAATACAATGATTGGTTTGTTTACAATATGTACACACAAACGTTTCCTTTTAAAATAAGGACAAAGAGTTTAGGAAGGTCATTTGTCTGATCTACTGGCAAGAGCATTTGTGTCTGAGAGATTGAGAGCAAGAACAGGAGCAGGAGAGACTTGGAGGATCCCCTTGAAGGTCATAGGTCTCTACAAAGTTGGTAGGCAAGTGCCTGCCGTTCGGTCTGATACCTAATAGATACTCAGGAAATACTGTGCAATCAGTTGGCTCCTGAGGAGATAATACAAGTGGGTGACATACATGGTTATGGTAGCAAATTAAATTGTGTGTGCAAAAACCAGCATGAAGCCGAGCTGTGTTGTAAAGTATATGCAAAGACCATCTCTCTGCTAAGTCTGTATTGCTGTGACTAAAATACTGTAATATTTATTTAGATTAGAAAATGGAATACACAGCACCTAATGGTTGAGTCTTTTGGTGAAATATTCTGATATAATGGTCTAATGGACTAAGGGAAGTCTTCACAGATTTATGAGTAGTCAGAAATGTTAGAGTTCCTTATCCACTTAACATGGAGTGGAAAAAGGACTCAAATAATATACTTCATTCATTGCATCTAAAGTTAGAGAATATAAAATGATTGCCAAGGTCTTTAATTAAATTAAGTAGACTAAATAAATGTTGATAGTGATATTATTATAAAAGTTCTTGATTCTCAATTAGAGTTCCTTTTTTCCTAGAAAAACATTTTATTTTTAAATTATTCTTTTGTAAAACATTTAGGTGAGAATCATGATGTGTCAGTTCCTCTGACATGTTGACATTTGACATACTGACAACCTAGTATCTTCTCTCTGCTCTTCTCCACTCTACTTATTTTTAGAGCTACCAACATCATACTTGATGGAACCTCCTTGTATAATTATTCACTAAGAAGATCATGGAATATGTTTTAATCCAGCGGTTCTAAACCTTCCTAATGCTGTGACCCCTTAATATAGTTCCTCATGTTGTGGTGACCCCAAACCATAAATTATTTTCATTGCTAATCTATAACTGAAATTTTGCTACTGTTATGAATCGTAATGTAAATATCTTTTTGTTTTCTGATTGTCTTAGGCGACCCCTGTGAAAGGGTCATTCGACCCCCAAAGGGGTCACGACCCAGCGGTTGAGAACCGCTGTTTTAAATCAGTTTTATTTTAAATACTGTTTTTAAAAGTAAGGAATTTATTTAGACAACCATACAAATCTACAATAACAATGAGTGTTTTTATCCTGTTTCTGGCCTAGGAATTTATAAATAAGCAATATTGAACGTTGTTTCCTTATTTACCCTTTTGTTTGGCTGGAGAAGCTTGGCTGAATGTTAGTTTTATCTCCATTGTTTATAAAAAGGTAAAAATGTGGTGGAAATTCTTTATATATTTGACACAGATCCATGTTTCTTTTTAAAAATTATTTCTGTATTTAAATGAAAGGTACTGTGTGAATTTAGTATCTGTGTGTGTGATACTTCTTAATGTGAATTCTAGTTTTATTTTCACATAATGGAAAGGGTTAAACGTAACACAAGAGTATAAGCATTAAGATAGGCACATTTTTGAAGCTCCAGTTAAAACTTACGAAAGTATACCTAATAATTTAACTGACTCTGGCTTAACTCAACTATTGGGTTGTCAGAAGAGTCATGACATGTTTTTTTCTATGTTTTTTGTTGCAAAAATGTGTCATGACTTTTTCAACAACCCAAGGAGCCAATATATTCAGATAGTATTAGCAGTGAGAGACTACTTAATTTGGTGATTAGACTTATTCATGTAATATTTCAAGAGATTCAATTTATACAAATGGAATTTAAAATGTATGCTCTCATATACATATATAAATATGCATATGCATATATATTCTCTCATTCTTTTTTTATAGCAAAAAGGTAGGCTTCACCATAAGCCATATTAAAAGTAGTATTATCTAGGGCCGGCTGAGGTGCTTAGTTGGTTAAGAGCTCGCTCAAGAGTTTGAGCTCTGAGCAACAGCGGTTCGATGCCTGGCCCAAGCTGAGCAGCCACTGAGCTGCCAACAGGTGGCAGGATGGCTCAGCTAAAAAAAAAAAAAAAAGTTAATAAATAAATAAATAAAAGTAGTAGTATCTGAAAATTTTACTGTGTTGTCTTTTAAAACATACACCATGAGGCACTATAAGAATTACTGTAACAGCTTCAGTGATCTAATATTGAACGAACTTAGTTGTTTAATTACATTTTTTGAAAAAAGGTAAGGCATTTAATCATTTTCGTTAAGTTTGGTGACTAAGAGGAGTTGCAACACCTGTGGCAGAAGTCCTCTGTATTTTATATTTTAATGTATTAGAGGTATGCATTGATCTCTCTTCTCTTATGGCAGAAATACATTTTCGTTTCTTTGAATACCCATGAGCGTTTGTTTACATAGTTGAAAGGCTGGATGTATGGGCTGGAATGGGGTGGAGCTATAAGACATGACCTGGAATGTGTGAAAGTAAATGAGGAAGGATGTGTAGCTAGGAGTAACCCAGCCCTACACAAATAGTGTACTATGGAGACAGTACAGTGAAGATGCGATGGGATACAGAGAAGGGTTTTCTCTTTTGTTTTTATTAAAGCGAAAGGGGTAAATATAACTATAGTATATGTGTTCTAGTTACATAAAAGTCTTGTGTTTGTTTTTGTTTTCTTTTTGTTTTTTTTTAACAAACCATAGTTAAAAACATAGAAGGAGCTTCATAGAGCTTTTAGTGATCATTCATATAGGTCTATATTTATGTTGATGGATAAAGAGTACAAGCAGCACTGGTTCCTTCTTACTAGAGTTTTTTTTTCTTTCCTGACTTATCAGTAAATGCTAGATGTCGATCCTTTCATACATGGAAAGGCGTGGCTTCTTGCAACAGAAACAATCTCCCTACCTACCGTGTTTCCCCGAAAATAAGACCTAACCAGAAAATAAGCCCTGGCATGATTTTTCAGGATGCTCGTAATATAAGCCCTACCCAAAACATAAGCCCCAGTTAAGATCGTGAGCCAGACATGACTGTTGGAATAAATATAGATTTTTGTACATGAATAAATGAATAAATGTAGATGGTTGGAGCAAATGTTAGTATAAGACCCGGTCTTATTTTCAGGGAAACAAGGTACCAGTGGGGGGCAGGGATGGCTCCGTCATAGTTATTCCTCCTGTAAGCTTCTCAGGCCGAGCCTGAGCACGTGTGGCATGAATCAGGGCTAGGCTGAAAACTAATCCTGCAACTGTATTCCTGGGGGTGGAGGGAAAGACACTGTACAGTCCTCCATGTTTTACTTTATCTTCTTCATGGGTCAGTGCACCCACAGGCCACTTTTCACACTGCTGTGACGCTGGGAAAAGGGCAGCTGTAGTGGCAGGACCTTCTCCCAGGACACCTGATTTGCATTTTGATAAGAATGAGGGCCACAAATTTCCTCCTTCCTGGTGCCCAGACAAGGAATTTGAAGGTGTATTTCTGGAGGCAGAAATGTCAGCTGGGCTTAGCATTTGGTACCCTACAGTACAATTTACACATATAATCTAGGGAATCTTCTGAGGATATTTGTTATTTAAAGTATGCTACTTCAAATGTTTAGATGTGACGCTTAAGCTTTCTTTGGAGGAAATGTTAAAAACAACAACAACAAAAAACCCCAAAAAACAAACAAAAAAAAACTATTGACCCAATACAGGCCTCATGAAGGAAAAAGGTGTAAAGGTGTGGAGGGCTTTTTCTTCCTGGTGCTTTCAGTGAGCTATTGGTGTGTGTACAGAGGGCACCCAGCCGAGCCTTCCTGCACTGTGCCTGGGCGGTGGTTGCAGCTTATGCACCTAAGTCTTGCCTCACTGTTGCAATGGGGAGGGGTTGTCATTGCACTGTGAAAGGGCTATAAAGAAACAATCTCTCTTCCACTTTTCCAAAAACCATCTTCTGTGAGATAGATCATGACAAGAGACCGGAAGGAATCTCTTGTCATTTCCTTATGGAATAGAGGGTGTCGAAGCATCGCCTTACATAAAGGACTATAACCAATTACTTTTCCTGTATGATTTGGGGAAATGGTTTTAATTTTTAATTTTCTTTGCAGTTCACACAAAGATGAATTCCCACATTTCACGATTACAATGTGTAGGTGTGATTTCTGGTTTCATTTTACAGATGCTGTTTTGTTAAACATGTTAAAGAGTTTTCATAACCTGTTTTTATAATCTGAAATTGTATTTATTTTTCCTATTGTTAATATAAAACAGCCAATCTGAGGACTGAGACTGTAGAAGGGTGATTGCACTTAATGTGAAAAGATTGGAATCCCTCCTTGTGTGTGTGTATGATCTGCCAGCCTTGCTATCAGTTTCTTCTGTCGTACGCTGCCAAACGTTCTATTTAAGTATTGTGAAAACTCTTTGTTTTTTTCAGGTCGAATGAGTGATTTGAGTGTAATTGGTCATCCAATAGATACAGAGTCTAAAGAAGATGAATCTTGTAGTGAAGAAACAGATCCAGAGAACCATCTAATTGCTGAAATTTTACCTGAATTAATTGAAATAGATCTATACCACAGTGAAGAAGAGGAAGAGGAAGAGGAAGAGGAAGATTGTGCAAATGCTACTGATGTAACAACCACCCCATCTGTACAGTACATCAATGGGAAACACCTGGTCACCACTGTGCCCAAGGACCCAGAGGTGGCAGAAGCTAGGCGTGGCCAGTTTGAAAGTGTTGCACCTTCTCAAAATTTTTCAGACAGCAGTGAAAGTGATACTCACCAGTTTATAATAGCCGAAACTGGATCATCTACTGCCCTGCAACCAAATGAATCTAAAGAAACAACTGAATCACTTGAAATTACATGGAAACCTGAGACTTACCCTGAAGCACCGGAACATTTTTCAAGTGGTGAATCTGATGTTTTCCCCACAGCCCCGTTCCCTGAGGGAGAAGCCACAGAGGGACGTGGTTCAGTCACAGAGAAAGGTCCTGAGCTTGACAATGTGGTGCATGCACATACTGCACCTGTACCTCTATTTCCTGAAGAGTCTTCAGGAGATGCTGCCATTGACCAAGGATCCTCAGAAATGATCTCTTTAAGGTCTACAGAAGTAATATTTGGTGAAGAGGCAGACAAAAGTACTTCTGTCACATACACTCCAAGTACCGTCCCAAGTTCTGAGTCAGCAGATGTTTTGGAGGAACTATCAGTTGCCTCAACCGGAAATCCCCGACCTGCTGACCCATCATCCACTGTGGAAAGCGGAGTGCAGATAACCCTCAGACAAACTGTTGAGCCCTCAGGGAGTCTTTCAATTCCAATTCCTGAAGGCTCTGGGGAAGCAGAAGAAGAGAAAGATAAAATGTTCACTGTGGTAACTGATTTATCACCGAGAAATACTACAGATACACTGGTTACTTTAGATACTAGCAAGATAATGATCACAGACCACCTTTTTGATGTTCCTGCAACCATTTACTCGGCTTCTGAACAACCGTCTGCAGAAGTAGTGCCTACCAAATTTGTAAGGGAAACGGGCACTTCTGAGTGGGTCTCCAGTACATCTCTTGAGGGAAAGAAAAGGAAAGATGAGGAGGAGGGAACTACAGGTCCAGTTGCTACATTTCAGCTAAATTTGCCTACACAGAGATCAGATCAATTAACTTTACCCTCTGAATTAGGAAACTCAAATGAAGCTCTGTCTAGTGATTCAGTATCTACTTCCAGAAACAGATTTATGGCTTTGACAACACCCACACAGTCTGAAAAGGAAAGGACAAGTTCTACTCTTGTCTTCACAGATACAAATGTTTCAGATAACCTGGGGGCACAGACTGCTAAGCCCCATAGGAGGGGTCAGTCTGCAGTGCAGGAAGGGCTGTCCACTGTCTCAGGTAGCCCCATCTCTCTCTTTGTGGAGCAGGGCTCTGGAGAAGCTGCTGCTGACCCAGAAACCACCACTGTTTCTTCATTTTCCTTAAATTTAGAGCCTGAAATCCAAACCCAAAAGGAAACAGCCAGCACTTTGTCTCCCTCTGTGGAAACTGTGTTCCCTTTTGAGCCAACAGGACAAGTCTTGAATACTGTGATGGATAGAGAAGTCACTGAAATTATAAGACAAACATCCAAGGAAAACCTGATATCAGAGGTTTTAAGAGAGCCATATAATGGGGCAGAAATAAATGGCTTTTCCACAGATTTTCCTTTGGAGGAAGATTTCAGTGGTGACTTTAGAGAATTCTCGACCGTATCTCCTCCCTTAACAAAAGAAGAAAGAGTAGTGATGGAAGGCTCTGGGGATGCAGCATTTAAGGATACCCAAATTTCAGCATCTGCAGCACCCACTTCAGATCGCATCAATCACATAGCTGACTCGGAGGGACCTGGTGGCACTTTGGTGGGCACTTCAGCCTTTCCTTGGGAAGAGTTCACAGCCTCAGCTGAGGGCTCAGGTGAGCAATTGGTCTCAGTCAGCAGCTCTGTTGACCAAGTGTCTCCCAGTGCTGTGGGGAATGTTTTTGGTACAGAGCCGCCATTGATTGACCAAGTATTGAGAGAAGAAGGTACTATCAAAGAAGCTGAAAGAAGACCCACCATTTTACCAAGAGCAGAAGCTAACGATACTGAACCTCCAATAGAAAAGGGGAGTGTGAAGGTTGATAGCACGGTTTCAGTGGACTTTCCCCAGACAATGCAGCCAACCAAATTATGGTCCAGGCAAGAAATCAACCCTATAAAGCAAGAAATTGAGACTGAAACAGCATCAGAAGAAAAGATTCAAGAAAAATCTTTTGAATCCCCCCAAAGCTCTGTCATACCAGATCAAACAATTTTTGATTCACAAACGTTTACTGAAACTGGACCTCAAAGCACAGTTTATTCTACAGTAGCAACGAAGAAAGTTTACAATGCTGATGAGGAAATGGAGGAGGAAGGCACTTCCTTAGTTGACACGTCTGTTCCAGATCCAGGCACAAAGGGTTTGGAACCCTACACTACTCTCCCTGAGGTTACTGAAAAATCCCACTTTTTCTTAGTCACGGCCTCAGTGACTGAATCTATACTAGCTGAGAGTGTAGTTACAGACCCATCAATCCAAGAGGAAAAAAATGTAAAACCATCTCCCAAAGTTATGACACCAGAATCTAAAGAGTCAGATCCTGATCTTTTATTCTCTGGACTCGGATCAGGAGAAGACATTTTGCCCCCTACAGTATCTGTGAATTTTACTGAAATGGAACAAATCATTAGCACATTATACCCCCAGACTTCTCAAATGGAAAGTTTAGAAACCAGCATCTCAAGTGATACAACTGAAGGCTATGAAGGGATGGAAAATGTGGCAAATGAAGTTCGACCACCCATTTTTAACACAGACAGCATCTCTGAAGATAATGAGATGGCATCCAACACAACATCACTAGAAATGTTAAGGGACACCAGGACCAAGGGACCCTCTGTGGCACCTCTCACTTTCTCCACAGACACTGAACATCCTCCAAATCAGATGCACAGTTGGGCAGAAGAAACCCAGACTAGTAGACCACAACCCACTACTGAACAAGTCTCTAATAAGAACTCTTCACCAGCAGAAACTAGAGAAACAGCCCCCTCTTCCACTGATTTTCTGGCTATAGTGTATGGTCTTGAGATGGCCAAAGGATCTGTTACATCAGCACCCAAACCATCAGACTTGTTTCACGAGCATTCTGGAGAAGGATCTGGGGCATTGGATACCGTTGATTTAGTCCACACTTCTGGAACTACTCAGGCGACTGGGCAAGGCAGCACCCCAATTGTTTCTGATAGATCCTTGGGAAAACATCCCGAGGTTCCAAGTGCTAAAGCCGTTACTGTTGCTGGATCCCCAACAGTGTCAGTGGTGATGCCTCTTCATTCAGAGCAGAGCGAAAGCTCCCCAGATCCAACTACCACACCATCAAATACAGTGTCGTATAAGCAGCCCACCGAAGGTGCTGTGGGTAGTTTCCACGGCCATTTCAGGGGATTCGAGGATTCAACCTTAAAACCTGACAGAAGAAAAGCCACAGAAAATATTATTATAGATCTGGACAAAGAGGACAAGGATTTAATATTGACAATTACAGAGAGTACCATCCTTGAAATTCTACCTGAGCTGACATCAGATAAAAATACTATCATAGATATTGATCACACTAAACCCATATATGAAGACATTCTTGGAATGCAAACAGACATAGATCCAGAGATACTATCAGGACCACAGGGCAGTAATGAAGAAAGCTCCCCAATTCAAGAGAAGTATGAGGCAGCTGTTAACCTCTCCTTAACTGAGGAAAACTTTGAGGGCTCTGGCGATACTCTTCTGGTTAACTACACTCAGGCAGCACATAATGACTCAACGACATCTGAAGACAGAAGCCAATTCAATCACATGAGCTTTATCTTCACAACCGGGATTCCCATCCCGAGCATAGAAACAGAATTAGATATTTTGCTTCCTACAGTAACATCCCTGCCCATTCCTCGTAAGTCTGCCACAGTTTATCCAAATATTAAAGAACCAAACATCGAAGCAAAAGCCCTGGAAGACATCTTTGAATCAAGCACTCTGTCTGATGGTCAAGCTATTGCAGACCAAAGCGAAGTAATATCAACATTGAGCCATTTGGAAAAGACACAGTATGAAGAAAAGAAATATGTAGATCCTTCTTTTCAGCCAGAATTGTTTTCAGGAGCCGGGGAGGCACTGATAGATTCCACACCTCACGTAAGTATTGGTACTATCCATGTTATGGCTCAGAGTTTAACAGAGGCGCCTAATATGACAGAAGGATCTAATCCCCCAGATTACACTGCGTTTGCAAAGTTGTCCTCTCAGACACCATCATCTCCATTCAGTGTCCCCTTAGGCAGTGGAGCCTTTGAACACACAGAGGGCCCCCAGCCAAGTGCTCTGCCTGGTATAGACAAGGGCCTATCTCACACGTCCCCGGGAAAACTTGCAAATATTGAAGTGACTTTCAAAGCATCAAGTGGAGAATACTTTCACGTAACCGGGCCTCCACCCTTACCTCCTGACACAGAATTAGAGCCTTCAGAAGATGAAAGTGAACCTAAGTTATTAGAACAGATAGAAGCTTCCCCCACAGAACTAATTGCTGAAGAAAGAACTGAGATTCTCCAAGATTCCCCAAACAAAACCAATGTTCAGCTTTCTGCAGAAACAATCAAGGTATTTCCTGCTGTGAGAATACCTGAGGCTGGAACTGTTGTCACAACGGCAGGTGAAATTAAATTAGAAAATGCTACACCGTGGCTACATTCTACTCCTGCGACTTATGGGGCTGAGACAGGTGTGGTGCCTCAGCCTAGCCCACAGACTTCTGAGAGGCCCACTGCTCCGTCTTCTCTGGAAATCAACCCTGAAACGCAAGCAGCTTTTATCAGAGGGCAAGATTCCACAGTTGCAGCTTCGGAACAGCAAGCATCAGCGAGAATTCTTGATTCCGGTACTCAGGCAACTGTGCACACTGCAGAGTTAAGTATTGCGCTTGCAACACCATCACTTTACCTTCTGGAAACTTCTAATGAAACCAGTTTCCTGATTGGCATGAATGAGGAGTCAGTGGAACGCACAGCAGTCTATTTACCAGGTAAGGTCACGGCACTGATAAACCTGTTTCCACACTTGGAAACAGTCCCTTGTTCCTCACACATATGTATATAATTTTTATTGTAATGTTAGATCAGTGAAGCTTTTATTGTTGTGCATAAAACAGGAGGCCAGTTTACAGAATTGAATCCATAATGAGATGCAAAGAAAGTAAGGATAAATGATTTCTGAGCTGTATAGATGTACTTTGTTTGGTTCTGGGTTTTACAAACAACGTACAGTTGCACCATGGAAAAATTGAAATAGTGGTGTAAAAATTCATTTTCCTTCTACTCACAACTAAAGTATTGCTTTGTCACATGCTCCATAGTTACACACCTTAGTTTTAAAAACAGATAAAGAATCTAATTTTTATAAACCTCTCACTGATGGGTGCTATTATGGCAATATCAAAATATGTTAGGCCTTTAAAATTTGACAGTAGTAAATAGCTCTCATATACATTTCACAGTTTGTGCAGTATGGGTTAATCAATTCATACTTTTACACAATTTCCTTGCTCCAAGTATCTACATAATGCTTCTAACCCCTAGCCATAGTGGGTATTCATTCAGTATTTATTCACACTCTGCCCATCGAGAGAGGGTTTTTTTTGTTTTGTTTTATTTTGTTTTTGACTGAATGACAGAAGGCATGAATTTGATACTGGTTCATATAGACTATCTCACTCAATCTTAACAAAAAGTCTATATAGCACACACCATTATCCCCGTCTAT